ACTCCCAGTGGGACACTTTGTATATTAGCCTTTTAAATATATGGAAGATATATACACTTATATCATAATTCTAAAGTTAATTCCATCCCCCACCCGAACTTTGTAAAAGTGTTTATACATTTTATAAAATTCAAAACAAGAACAGAAACTCCCAGTAGCAGAAAAGAACTCCCAGTACAGGAAACTCTAAAGAACCCATGGGATGAATATGCAGTAATACCGTGTTTCCCCGAAAATGAGACATCCTCCGAAAATAAGACCTAGCGCATGGAAAGATAAGACATCCCCTGAAAATAAGACCTAGCGCAACTTTGGGGGAAAAAATTAATATAAGACACTGTCTTATTTTCGGGGAAACAGGGTATTACAACTACAGGCCCAAGACACTTAAGCTGGTATACATAATAACCTTTAAATGAGAGGAATTTCTTTGAATAGAACCACACATAGAAAGTAGACAGTTGGGACCGGTTTGGCTCAATGGATAGAGCGTCGGCTTGGGGACTGAAGGGTCCCCGGTTCGATTCCGGTCAAGGGCATGTACCTTGGATGCGGGCATATCCCCAGTAGGGGGTGTGCAAGAGGCAGCTAATCAATGACTCTCTCTCATTGATGTTTCTAACTCTCTATCCCTCTCCCTTCCTCTCTGTACAAAAATCAATAAAATATATTTAAAAAAAAAAAAAAAAGAAAGAAAGTAGACGGTCACACTGTCTGTAACATGTACAGGGTAATTATTGAGAAGTCTCTTTATTTTTCTAAAAGATAAATGAGTCACTAGTGAAGAATTAGTATTACTTTTCAATGAGTGATAATTTTTTTTTTTTCATTTTAGCTGTTAGGGAGTTGCAATGGGGCTAGATGTATAAGCATCATTTGAAATTACTTGGACAAATAAAATCAGAACATGTCAAATATTTCATACAAAAATTATGGTACAAAAATCATGGACTTTATTATACATTAAAAATCTCCTAACAGCCTAGTTTCTGAAGCCTTGTCAGAGAATATCTGTTTTGACAAAATGAAAAAGTTCTCCACCCCACATGTATACCACAATTACATTGAATTCTTCAAATCCAATTCTAAAGGTAAATGTAGCGTGAATTCAGTGCTGCATAATTAATAGCATCAGTGAAATAAGAATTAATCAATTCACTTACACTACAAATATATAAAGCAGTTTTACATATGTTATAACTTAATCTCATGTTAGTGAGATTAATAACTTAATTCTTATATTAACTGAATTACATGAGTTTACCCACAAGAGATTGGTTAAAAAGTATAATATAGTTCCAGTTTCAAATTTTTATGTATTACTTATTAATGAAGAAGAAAATCTCATGAAAGAAGAGAAAACCAAACTTGCAAGTAATAAAATGAAAGTCTTGCTACAGTCAGTATGTTTAAAAATTTAAAGTACAGTTTGAATGTTAGGAGGTTGTTGTCAAAACCAATGTTAATATTTTCACTTTATTAATTCAGGTGGCAGAGGTTTTATATAATACATGGCTTCTTAGGGTCTATCAGCATTTATAAGATTTAACTCTTAAATACTTCAAGCTCATATATAAGTCAAAATTAACTGATGCCTTTACCACTCAAGATTATATGTTACATAGAATGTTATGCACAAGCATAAAGGTAAAATAAATCTACTATCCCGACTGGAGAGGCTGAGAATTCTTTTGAAATGAATCACAAAGTAACAATTATAGGCATGGCAAAAACTACACTGACTTAGGGGATTCTGTTTAAAGTAATAGCTTCAGTCCCTCATTAGCAAGTTTTGAACATTTTAAAAAGGAGAAGGAATAACTAATGAAGTCAATAGTTTCCTATCTATTGACTTCATTACCATTGGTACATTCATATAGGTAGCAGAGTACATAGCAAATTAGGTAGACTTAATTTTTTTCCTTTTAAAGAATCTGTTTGGTTAATTTCTTAAAAAGAAGAAAAAACACAAAACATTAAGTATAAGTTTGAATCTAAGTAAGAGATCCCAAAATCTAATTCAATAACACCAAAGCATTCCTACCCTAGAAGGGATTTCAAAGGATAACAAAGATAAAGTTTAACATTATGCAGAAACCCATGGACAGCCTTCTTTAATAAAAAAAGAGTTTCTTAAAGTTGATGTTAAATATCAGCAGTAATCGAATAGTTCCTACAGTCCTAGTAATGGAATAGAAGGTGAATCATCTAAAATTATTAAATCTGCACATAACTTCTGTAGGATGTTGGAATGTGCTTTAGTCTGACTTATGGACAGTTTGTGTGATTGTGGAAATTCCTATAAAAATGTAACTTAAAAGGAACTATAAGTCTGTCCAGCAGTCCTATGCCTTCCATACCCTTAACTCTACCTCACTGACCAGAGTGCTAACAAAGGTCAGCATGTCACTACCAGGTAAAGCACCAGCCTAGTAAAACTGACCCCTAATGCTGACCACTCCCCTTGTTGGGTGTCAAATTTCATCTGAGCTAAGTGAGTTAACAACTTCATAGTATTAACAAAAGACTTAATGAAACAGAACGCTTACTAATTCTCAAAAAGGTCCCAAAAGCATGACTTGCAAGACTAATCAAGTGCTGACCACAGAAGAAAATTTACCTTCTATAAAAGGAACAATACACAAATTATTGTGAGAGCATTAAGCATAAAAAAAAACTTTTTTCAAAAAGTATCCCATAAATTTCTACTTTTTTATTTTTTACTAAACGTTTTGGTAACATAAGGCTTCACAATGATTGTCAAGTAATCATTATTCCCATTTGGCACATGGATAAAAGAGTATCATGATCTTTATATCTAAACACCTATCCCATTCATACAGAAAGCAGTGTACATAAAGTGTGAAACAATAACACTATATTGTAAGAACTAAATAAATGCCATTTCTAATTCAGAACTAAAAATTAACTGTACATAAAAAAAACAAACGGCTTTTTTCCCTTGTAAAATTAGTCTTACCTGGCTAGTGTTGCTCAGTGGTTGAGCATCACCAGGAAACAAGAGGTCACTGGTTCAATCCCCCCTCTCTATCCCATTGGCACATGCAGGCTCAATTCCCAGCAAGAGGCATGCAGGAGGCAGCAAATCGATGAAGTTTCTCTCATTTATGTTTCTATTTCTCTATCCCTCTCCCTTCCTCTTGCTCTAAAAAAAAAAAAAAAAAAAAAAAAAAAAATCAATTAAAAAAATAAATAAAAATTTTTTTAAAATTAAAATTAGTCTTAGTGGCTGATCTCTTGAAAATTTTAAATGTATACCTGTAAAATAGTTCATTCAATATAACTTGTCTACATATACTTTTACATATGAAACATAGGAACATAATTTTTATCAGCAATGTAAGAAAAAAAATCAGTTGTTGACATAGAAGTAGGCAGTAGAGAAATGTCATTTAACCTCAACACGATGCTAAAATCCTTCCTTGGTCAACCCTTCTATTCCAAGCATTCAATTCCTTTTTAGTCTTTCATGGAATGAGACATTTCACTCATTTGAAGAATATACGTATTTACAATAATTAGTGCAACTTACTCTATTCTCCTATATTAGCTATTTGCCTTTGTGGATATAAAGTGGTGATCAGTATGTTATCAAAACATGGGATTATGAAAATACTATGAGTATCAATCTGAAATTTAGAAGACTACATTTTCTAAGTTAATCTCTGGGAATTTTTACTTTAAGCAGAAAACGTAATTGTTATAGAACTTTTGAAATGTCACTTGATTTTCAATAAAAAGTATCTCACTCAATGCAGAAAATACAATGTATTACCCTTTAACAATATCTTTACATGTTAAATCTTAATCTAAAATGTACTTCAACAACAACAAAAATCCCTTTTTATAAATCCCAAAATCTTAACTATTACTGCTCTGCAGCAATAATTAAAGTACCAACCTGAGAACTAAGACTGTAATAATAAAATGCCCAGGGCTGTAACAGTAACTGAACTGACATTTAAGCTTCTTTCCCAATGGCACCAGATGTAGTACATCCGAGAAATGTGAGCAATCCAAGAAAGTACCCTGAATCAACAGTTAGTACCACCTGCCACAATTTAAAATCTTAAGTCTAAAATGTCTTTTCTAATTATTTTATAAAAGTTCTATTGCACATTTAATATTGTTAAAATATTTGCAAACTTGTACAATTCTTTGTATAAAGAGTGTTGAACCTATTCAGTTGAAAGCTTCCTCACTAACAACAGAATTATCTTTTTTTCTTTTTTTTTTTAATATGTTTATTAAAGCTGGGAACAGTGAAACAGGAAGGGCTTAGGATAGAAGTAACAGGGGAGAGCCTCGGCAGGGCTGTGAAGACTCACTGAGAAATAAGTCACAGTGAAAGAAGTGAGCCCAGGTGGGGCTGTCAGCTCATTGGAAAGTCAGAGAAAAGGGGGCCTTGGAGACAAGTGACAGGGGTTAGCCTGGGATGCCATTGCCCATACTCCCAGGTTGCAAGTCTCCCGGGGTTCCTTAGAGTTTAGGAAATGTGTGCTTGAAGGGGAACAAGAGGGTACAGAAGGGAAAGGTGCAGCGGTGGCCCTGGGAAGGAGAGTGTGCCACCGACAAAATGTTCTTAAGAGAGGGTGAGTAACCATGAATATCTGAAGCTGAAGAATAAATGATTTCTTATGATCATAACCAGTTACAATAAATTCACAATTTGAAGGGGAAAAGGCTTGAGCAAGTGTAATTCCTCAGCAATCTGCTTTAGGGAGATGAACAGGTTTCTTTTAGACATATGGAATTTGATGTTACTGCATAGCATATTATTTTTGAGGAAAAGAAATCAATGCAAACCTAAGTCATTAAGGTCAATCTTATTTTTTTAAATGAAGTTAAAACAAACAAGCCAATATAAACTTTAGTCTCCTCCATGGTATTTCAACATAGTTGTTACCTTGAGTCATTTCCCCACAGAAATTGTCAATAAATTTGAAGGGGAGAATTATCAACCAAAAGCAAGGATAAGTTTATGCTTCTGACTCTCTCTTCTTTCCTTCTTCTCCCAAATCACTCTCTTCTGACTGGCTACTGCTAAGGACAACAAACTGCCCCTCACTACTGGCTTGGTTTGGTCTACTGGAAGCAGCTATCAACCGACTTTGTTCTTCTAAGTCCTAGAGGAAAAGACAGAAAAGAAAATACAAGTTAATTATTTGCAATCAAATGGAAAACTATGCAGTTAAAATACATACTTGAGAATCACTTCAATCATTCTGTTGTAAAATAATGCATAATTCTGGCAACTTACTGAGAAGAAAGGCTATGACGACAAATGCAACACCAAAGTGAATTCTGGTTCCATCCTATAAATCCTATAAAAGTCAACACTTCTGTCTTCTCCTTTATTATGGTCAATAACCAAATTCAGGACATTGTTATCGCCACACTCCACAGTAAAACGCTCTAATGGATCACTGCACGTCCCTGCCCTTTCCTCTTTGCATTTTCTTCTCCATCTTGGTCCAGTTTATCTTGCTAAATCAATTGTCATCCTCCTTCAGTCTAACCTACCCAAGAAGCCTTGACTTCAGTGTAATCTTTGCCACTTCCCTCTCCTTCGTCCATATATCACACTATTGATAATTCCTGCTGATCTGTTCTCATTAAATAAACCAGTTATCTTTTCCACTGCTGTCAATGCCATACCCCATATCTGGTTTTTTCAATCTCATGTATCACCTATCTAATGTATTCTCCAGATTTTGTTCTAAAATTTGTCTAGCTTAAAATAATTCTATTGGACAATGATTTGACACTCCTGGAAACAATAATATATACATATATGTATTTATACACTATCCTATGTAATAAAAGCCTAATATGCTAATTGTCTGGTTGTTCAGTCATCTGTTCAACCAATCAAAGCCTAATATGCTAATGATATGCTAAGACCACTCAACTGCTTGCTATGACATGCACTGACCACCAGGGAGAAGACAGTCAACCGATTGACCAGTCACTATGATGTGCACTGACCACCAAGGGACAGATACTCCAACAGGTAGGTGAGCTTGTTGCAGGGGTCTGGCCAATCGGGATTGAGTGAGATGGGCCAGACATGTCCTGAAACCCTCCCTTGGTCCCTCCCCCTCTGGCTAACCTCCCTTGTTCCTCCCCAGCCTTGATCATGCACCGGTGAGGTCCCTTGGCCAGGCCTGTGCCCTCTTGCAATCCGGGACCGCTCGGAGGATATTGAAGAGCCAGTTTTTGGCTCGATCTCACTTAACACAGGAGCTGCCCTCTAGTGGTCAGTGCACTCCTACAGGGGGAGAACTGCTCAGCCAGAAGCCAGGCTCACAGCTGGCGAGCACAACAGCAGTGGCAGGAGCACTAAGGATGTTCCCTAATGGCTCCCGGACTGCAAGAGGGTGTAGACCAGGCTGAGGGACCACCTCAAGTGCACGGGGCCTCTAATATATATATATATTAATGATATATATACATTCCTAGAGGCCAATGTAGATTTCATCAATGGCAGTTAAGTATATATGACACAGCCTCTCAAAAGACCAGCTTTGCCAGAGACAATCTTCACTGGAATATGGAAACATGAAAGTTCAGATGTGTTTGCTAAATGGCAAGTTACTCTACATGTCGGTATAACTATAATGTAAACATCGTATCAGAAGACAGATGTCATCCTTTTCTGATATGCTATGAGTCCTCTGGTTATGAAGTGGCTGAGCAAGCAGAAATAGACCTTCATTTGGAATGAAGTCAGTGCTGAATTAAGGAAACTCTTTACAAAAATCACATCAGAGAAGATCCAGATATTAGAACTGCATACCTTTTCAATTTGTTTTTGTTTACTGAGTTCTTTCTGTTGCTTCTCTTTTACTCTCTCTATTTCTTTTTGTTTTTCTGATGCCCTACGATCCTGAAGAACAGATGAATACAACTAATGAATTAAGTATGAAATAACTTTAAATTTTAGACTTTTCAATTAATATTCTTTGTAACTTTTCAAATTATTTTCTGCATATATATGAGAAAACACACCAAAAATTTACATGCTATGTTAGCCATTTACCCAAATTCTAAATACCAAATCAGCAATAGTATCCAATGTTAACCTTACTTAACAAAATTATTTTATTTGTTATTATGAAAAATTTTGCCTTACATTAATTAACATTCTTGGATAATTAAGTGTCTTGGATTCTTACCAGTTCCGCATGTAAAGCTATTTGTTTTGCCAGTCCAACAGAATCACAAATCTAAAAGGGGAAAAATAGGGGAAAAAAGTTAAGCAGTTCTATCAAATTAATAATTTCAATTATCCAAATGGCAAATGTATCTAGTTTTATAACTCATTATAATACACTGCTTAAAAAAAAAAAAAAAACTGATTTAAGAATGTTCCAAGCCCCAAACCAAGACTGTGTATTTTCTTCAGTCTGTTTGTTTCAACTACTGGCTGTCATCTTTTTAACATAATGCACTGATTATCTCAAACTCATGACTGAAATAGTAAGGACTGCAAAGAATAAAGTAAGCAGTTGTTGATGCTACTCTAAGCTGAAGGCATCTGAAAAAAATAGCTGGTTATCTAAATTATTGCATTCCTAGGATAAATCAATGAGGTCAGCTACCATGGCTAGAAAGACAGAGGTCTAAAAAACTAAGAAGGTCCAATATATTCCCTCAGTTCATTTCAGAGCAACAGGCTTTGGTCAAGCAACTCAGCTGAACTAGGCAAAGTCTGAGTTTTCCAGAAATGTTACTAAGGACTTTAATTATGATATGCATTTCACAACAGACACACATTTTGAAAAGTCAGGTACCTTTTCCCCCTCGTTGTTTGATTCAAATATATAGCAGACAGATGACAGATGACTTTCATTTCTCCCTCCAGATGTCCGAAGAACAAATCCAAAAAGCCTCTTATTTTCCTGGTGTGTAGCATATAAAACTACACTAGGTAATGGAAACTGCCACAGAAAACATCAGAGGCAAACATGAGATTTTTCAAGCCATTACAATAGTACTCTTTTTTTTTTAATTTTCTTAAAAAATATTTTTATTGATTTCAAAGAGGAAAGGTGAGAGGGAGAGAGAAATATCAATGATGAGAGATTCCCCCTGCAACCCTACACTGGGGATCGAGCCTGCAACCCAGGTATGTGACCTCCTGATTCACAGATTGATGCTCAACCACTGAAGCCACGCCAGCTGGGCTATAATAGCATTCTTACATATCACAAACTTAGACTGCTATAAAAATATCCTAAATAAAAGATTAAAGCCCCCCCCCTTTTTTTTTCTTAACAGAACAGAAATCCAAGAACAAATAATATCCTACTTGGTTTGGCTTTCCAGGCAGAATAAGAGGCTGTTCAATACTGAATTTGTATTATTAGTCATTAACACATTTTACAAAGTCAAATCCAATAACAAAAGTGGTTTATATTGTGAAATGATTACAAAGAAGCACATACTTACAACTATTTCAAAATAGCTAATTGTAAAATAAACTCAATCATGTTCCCCTTTTAATTCCTATTATTATTTTCTTCTTTTAAATAAAAAACAAAACAAAACAAAACTTACTGATTTATGAGAAAGAGGTAAAGCGATGGGGAGGGGAGAAAGAATCATCAATTTGTTGTTCCAATAGTTTATACATTCTTGTATATTGGTTGCTTCTTTGTACGTGCTCTGACCGGGGACAGAACCTGCAACCTTAGCTTATTGGGACGATGCTCTGACCAACTGACTACCTGGCGGGGCAATCCTACCATTCGTTTCTTTAGTGATATATACTCCGGAGATACAGATAAACACTACATATCACATCAAATTGCACTGATTCTTTTAAGTTACATGGAATGTCCAATTGTAACATTTTAGGAGAGATACTCAATGACTTAATTATAACAGCCTTTTAAAGACCAATTGTAGTTGATACTACCATATCTGAATATATAGAATCAGGATTGTTATAAAGATGTTAAAGGTGTATTTATGCTCAAAGAGACTTAACGCTTTAAACATGGAGAACTTACCGTGAGCCTTGTTACTTGTGTCTGTGGATCAATTAACCTATAATAATAATTAAAAATTTGAACAAATTTTAATTAGGCTGGAATTATATATACATTTTTCCTACAGTTTTTTTTTGAGGAAGAGGTTACTACTTACTTTAAACAATCACAAGTGACTAATAAATGTGATTCTGTCATACGAAAGATGTTATGGATGGCCCGGGCAGCTAAGATTTGGCGCATTGTTTCATAAACAACATCTGGATTGTTATCTGATTTCACCTCCATAGAACCAAGGAATCGGACAATAAATAACTGATGAAGAATAGAATCTACAACAGAACAAGGTATATTATGTATTTTTAAAACCTCACATTTCTTTACCTAAAGAATTAAAATACACTGCCTCATTTTAGATTTTCCAGTGAAAATTTCAACCTAGCTCCTAACTATAGTGTTCAAGTTACAGGAGAGTTAAGGTGTTAAATTCAAATAGCAAAGATTATGTTTCAACAATTAATTGGTGGCTATGGCTAAAAAGAATTCCTATGTTATTCTTTTCTGCAAGTTTGAAATTAAATAAAAATAAAAAGCTACTAGAAAAAGGAATAAAAAAGTTATGCTCCAATACCAGAAGAAAATATCTACTGCAAAAGCTTAAAAGACATCTTATACAGTTAGTCATTTATAAGGTAAAAAGTATAATATTTTATAATTTTTTGTGATAACAAAATCTTAAGTCCAATTAAGTTCTGTTGCTGTAAGTGTAAATTGAGAAAAAAGAAAAAATTGTGAAATAAAGATACCATTAAGATAGCATACAGCAAAACAAATATAAACAACAAATTATTCAGTTTACCTTTTAGAATTTCTAAATTATAAAAATATTGCACATCTGTTTTACCTTCAGTTTCAGATTTTGTGCCTCCTCCAGATTCTCCAAATGGATTTGTACGCCTGCAAAAGTTTTTTAAAATTATGAATCAACAGTTACAGTGAGCCACATGGAAGGATTATCAACCACTGAAACCAGAGTTAAAAAGTAAACCACAAAACCTTGTACGTACATTTGAAATAAAATTCTAAAATAACCCATCCTGTTAAGGAACACTACTGATGACCAAGTTAGTCTGATGAAGGCCCAAGCCTCAGATTCAGTTAATAGGCTCAACTCAAACATTGCTGCATTTTAGAAAATGTAGATGGATTGGAAGTTCAGACAGACAGACTCACACACCATGATAAACCATGTTGCAAAAGTTCATGAATTTAAAAAAAACTAGGACAGAGAAACAGTTGATTTAGCTTCAATTTTTGCTACTTGAGAAAAATGCCAGACATTTCCTGGGATGGTAAAAAACCTCTTTTTAGGTTATCTATGTATATGTCACAAGTTGACTCTGATAATTTCAATAGTTCCTAGTTTTAAACCTGTATTTCTCAAGGCATATGTAATAATGCAAGAAAAGCTACTAAAGATGGAAGCTACCTTCCTCCTTAGTGTGTTTGCTCCTGCACACCCACATGAAGGAAGAAAAGTACAATTCAAAGTAAGTTTTGTAAGCAAACAAAGAGCTAAGTGGTTCCAAAATAGCATTGGCATGAAGTTAACATAAGTCCCTAATACATGTCTGATTGACCTATTATATCAGATGCTAAGTATATTTCTGTGATCAAATTTAAATTACTTTTTCTTGATCACAGCCATGTATACCCAAATTAATATATTATCAATATATTAGGTGTCTAATTTGCTAAATAGGTAATTTGCCTTAAGTCATGTTTCCTTCCATCCATAGCCAAAGAAAACTTTTAATGCTTTGACAAAGATATTTCTCATTACATAAACAAAAAATGGCTCATTTATAATTCATAGTATGATAATGATTCAGTACCTTCCAGGAGATCTCTTATTCTGATACAGAATAATATTTTCTAATTTATAGCATATGTATCACTCTCAAGAATTTTAAAGATATTGTCATGACCTAAAGATAAGATTGTCAGCTTTCTCCTGCAATTTTAATAGCAAATACTATGAAGATCTAATAAGCAATTCAGAATTAAATATTTTTAAATATTAAATTACCTTAACTCATTTATCTAAGACAGAAAACAAAGAGAAAAATCTGCCATGATTCTTCTCTAATAATCAAAATGATTTTAGGTAATTAAGGTACAATGTAGCTAATGCACGTGATATGTAAAAAAAAGAAATGAAATCATAAACTTCGCAGACCATAGCACGATATCCCTGAGATGCCATCACCCACCTGCCTCCCTGGCCTGAGGCTTTCCCCTGCCCAGGCTGATCTTCACACACAGGAGAAATTATGTCAAACTGTATTGGAGTGTCTGGGGCAACGAGAGAATCAAGAGAGAGGGCAGCCAAATTTGTGGACTCAGATCCTAAGGATCCTGAACTGCTGGTTCGAGCTGTCGATGGTCGAGATTGTCTAAGCACAAAAGGAAACAAGGCACACTTAGTTTTCTCTTTTGGAAACTGAACACTTAAACTATGCGAGAAGAAAATACAACTTTGTAAGTCAATGAGAAGGATAGAACAAATTTTAATAGACACAATCCCAAATCATAGCTACTTATTTAATAATAGACTTCTTTTGTTCAATTATTAAGTTCAAAAACATAAATCACCTCACCGAGACCGGTTTGGCTCAATGGATAGAGCGTCGGCTTGGGGACTGAAAGGTCCCGGGTTCGATTCCGGTCAAGGGCATGTACATTGGTTGTGGGCATATCACCAGTAGGGGGTGTGCAGGAGGCAGATGATCGATGATTCTCTCTCATCGATGTTTCTAACTCTCTATCCCTCTCTCTTCCTTTCCGTAAAAAATCAATAAAATATATATTTTTTTTAAAAACCACAAAAAACATAAATCACCACAATCTAGAGATAAACACAAAGAAAATTTGGAATCATCTTATTTAGCACTCTTGGCTGGTAACTTTACCAATTTGAAAATACAATTTCCATTTTATTTGGCAACTATTTCATACTAATCTAAGCAGCACTGCTATAAACAAAGTGTTCACTATCCCTTTCAATACCCCATGTAGTTCTCTAAATAACCCACAGTCTGGTAACTCACCCAACTGGCCGCAGGCTCTCGTGTCTCTGCTGGAAAGATGGGGAAGGAGTGACAGCTTCCAAAGCTGACTGATTTACTCGTGCAGCAGTTTCCTTAAAAAAAAAACAAAAAAAAAACTAACATTAGTAAAGCAAGAAAACCACAGTTTGAATATAACTCTTTCAACTGAGTTACACATAAAATGTAAATTGGAGTTAATAAAGTAGTTCCATGTACTTGTCTTAATATTAAGATACATAATTAACTTTGTAGCATTATAACTTGTTTTTTCTTACTTCCTGTAAAAGTAGGGGAAGTGAATCTGATTTTTTGCCTCCTATATATAGATCAGGACATATTGAGTGTTTAGGTTTTTTTATGTTTTTAACTATGAGATTTTTTTGACTAAGTGTATTGCTAGCACCTAGAACAGCGAGCGTGCCATACTGGACACTCAATACATTCGCTAAATAAAGAAATTTAGAAAGTAGGAAATAGTCACAAAATATAAAATTATAACTATGATGCTGAAGTTTTCCTAATTTTCCAGAATACATTTATGCTCAGAAATATCTATACATTTATTAATTGATAAAATTATCATGTATAATTTTCAGACCAAAAACTGAAAGCAAGAAAGCTTTCCATAAGAAATATTTGTAAATTTTCTTTTATTTAAAACACTAGCTAAGCCAAAACCGGTTTGGCTCAGTGGTAGAGCGTCGGTCTGCGGACTGAAAGGTCCCAGGTTCGATTCCGGTCAGGGGCATGTACGTTGGCTACGGGCACATCCCTGGTAGGGGGTGTGCAAGAGGCAGCTGGTCGAGGTTTCTCTCTCATCGACGTTTCTAGCTCTCTATCTCTCTCCCTTCCTCTCTGTAAAAATTCAATAAAATATATATTTTTTTTAAAAAAAACACTAGCTAAATAAAATGGCATTAACATATATTTTTACATTTCTGAGTCTTATAGTTAGCAAAAATACTAAGATAATGCCACAAAATGATCAAAATTTCTTCTCTCATTAATATAGATAAAATAATTCTGGGTAATCTAGAAAATATTAAAACTTAAGTTCTAATCACTGATAGTAAAGTACAATTAGCCTGAAACTTTCAAGTCCAAACATTGTATTCTCAATGTATTCCCGAGGTATTACAATTCATCTAATTTGCATTTTAATTTTTTGTTGCTCAAGTAACATAACAGGAGAAGCTACATTGGTGGGAAATTGTTACTAAAAGCAAAGGTTTTTCTACAGGGAGCACTGATTTCTTAACTCATAAGATTATAAAACTCTCAGAAATTTTAGAGGTCTGAGATTTTGTTTATTTGGTTCAAAACTTTTCCCTAGGCATCTAAACATATGTGTTAGAGGGCACCTCTAAGCCATTATAATTCAAAACAAAACAAAACAGAACAGACTCTTCTAAAATTTCCCCTTCACTTGGGCTTAAAACCTGGAAGTCATCTTTCTCTCCTTCACCCATTAATCAGTCCCAATGCTAACTAGTCCAGTCAATTTCTTTTTACCTGTTTTGTTTTTTTAATATATTTTATTGATTTTTTACAGAGAGGAGGAGAGAGGGATAGAGAGCTAGAAACGTCGGATGAGAGAGAAACCTCGACCAGCTGCCTCCTGCACACCCCCCACCGGGGATGCGCCCGCAATCAATGTACATGCCCTTGACCGGAATCGAACCTGGGACCTTTCAGTCCGCAGACCGACGCTCCACCGCTGAGCCAAACCGGTTTCGGCTCTTTTTACCTGTTTCTATTATTCATTATTTCTTTTGTCTTTCCTCAGTTCATATCTGATTTATGAAAATGGACTTTACATATCCCCAGACACTCCCATCTAATCATCCATTACACCAACAGCTTAAGACCTAGAGGGTGAGGACTTTCTAGAGAAATTAGTCCTCCCTCTGCCTCAACTGCAATCATTAGCCTCCACCCAGCCCCGAGAGGCGCCTGGGTTCACAGCACAGCTGGGCCCACCAAGACTGGCAGAAGCCAGGCAGCTCCTGTCCTAAGCCAAGTCTTTTCCCAACTATACCGCACTATGGATCCACTTGACTCCTTCCAGAGTTCTCTGCACACCTGGGCTCTGCCTGTACGGTATGTGTGGATTGTAACTATGGCTATGTCTGCACTGCTAAGGTTTTTCTCGTTTGATACCCTTGCTAGTTGAAGTATAATTGGCAAAATTAAGAGTCCAGGCTACCTCACCCAAGACCTACTGATTTGTACACACATTTCCATTTTCTATTATTCCCCAATGGTAACCTTCAAAGGCAGTTACACAGCTAGATTCATAGCAAATCCACATTTGTGCTTTTATTTCTGTTCTCTTATCTACATATATTCTCTTTTCCACAAAACATGGACCAGTCCTACCCAGTGCAAGTTTCCATCATCTCCACAGTTTTCTCTAAAGTCCACACTGATCTTAGCATTCTTAAATATTAAGCTTTTAGTCATCACAGTATGTTTTCAATTTCTGTTTATTTTGAAATGTTACAGTATTAGTTTTGTCCTCCCATACACACAAACTCCTGGAAGACAGATGCCATGGCTTGTTTTTCTTCTCCATCCCCCTTCTCCATGGTGCACAATATAGCACTAAACACAAGGTCAGGGGCCACTAAATATGTTTATTGGCTGATTTAAGTACCTTTGAAATAATTTATTGTTCAGGAATACCAGATACTTATTATATACATGATACATTAAAGCTATCCAATCAAATGCAAATTAAAAGATTATAGAACTTGAGAATTATGACTTAATTAATAAAAGTTATATTAGCCACATAATTATTTAATTTTGCCAGATCTAGATATGATAAAATAAAAATATTACCTCTGGATTTTCACTTAAATATATTTGTTTAGATATATTGTTTATTGTACAGATCCACTGTAAGAGGAAAAAATAAAAGAATATGATTAATATTTTTTCTACAGTGCTTCTCTTCTAAAAGAGAATGTTCAATATTTGAAGTAAATATAAATTTCATTAGAAGTAACACATAATCTTTCTTATAAGATAAATACCTTCCTATATACATAAGCATGTATATGTATAGTATTTGAGGATATAAATAACAGAACATTGAACAGGTTATTTTTAAATGCCAAATTTCATACAAGGAAATTAAAAAATATAGTAATCTTGTGAAGTTATAATTTAGTAATCTATATCTTTTTATATTACTTTCCCCTTTAATCCCTACTAAACAAGACAACCTGGACTCAGATCTTATTATTAATACCAAAGCAAAAAAGTTAGGAGCTAAATATATTCCTGGTGAATAGATTTTACATACTTCCTTTCTTTCAGGTTTATAAAAAATTAACATAGAAAACTCTCTGCTTCACACCTTCTGCTTCACTCTTGAGAATTGCAGTGCTTGATGAGCCTCACTAAACTAAACTAATATTCTCTTTGGTAAATGCTACAGACATTTGTCTGTGTTCCTCAGAGATCAAAAGCCACGTTTTAATAGCTATTCTTTTCCACCGGAAGTAAATAAACGTAACCTCTCCATAATCGGTAACCTTGTCTTTCACCAAAACAATTATAATAGCAGATAACATGGCTCAAAATCAACCTATAATACATTTTCATTGAAGAATATTTCTCAAGACAAAGTTTTTAAAGTATCTGTTCTTAATAATAACTTACCTTCCATATTTGGTGTACTACAAGTAAAAATTGAGCCAAAAATAAAATACTTATGAGAAAAAAAATAGATATTACAAATTTTCACTTTCTATCTTTCATTTTTCTAAAGGTTTAAGCTTTAGTTGCTTAATCCCATGCCAATCTGCTGCCACTATATATTCTTAATGCAGCAATTATTGTCTTAGAGGGTTGGTGAGAGGGGTGAATAAATTAAACTGTCACCTCATGATACTAACAGCCTGTCAGAAAGCAACAGTCACAAGGTCATTTCTGAATTGTAGCCTTTAAAAAAGAGTAGAGAGATGATCTCCTCAGAGGTCCAACTATAAATTCTTTGTGAAATTTAAGAATGTTTTTAAGGATAAGTTTCTATTAAAAATATATTTTTAATTAACCCAAACTTTTCAAACTTCTATAATGAACCTATTAATGTTTTGTCATCAGCAAAATACCTTGATGTTGCTAAAGAAATTAACTACATAAAATTTTACCTCTTCATGGTCTTTTTTACTCTCTGCTTGCAAAATTGAAGATCTGAAAGAAAAAAAAAGAAATTAGACCCTCAACTTCTTTTAAAGTACTTTTAACAGTACTATAATTTTTTATTTTAAAAGGTACATATAAAATCCATCAGTATGAAAAACCACACACAAACAAAAAGAAAACCCCACATAGTCAACGTCTTAGGAAAAAAGAGACCACCAGAAGCACCAGGACTCAGATTTTAGCAACTCTTAGCTTTGACTATCTATGCCAAATGTGCCAAAAAAGAAACAGGTGCTAGTTTTCAGAAGACAGCCTATAGCAAAGGTGCACTGCAACTAAGAATCCATTTCAACCTTTTTTTTTCTTTTTAATATATTTTATTGATTTTTTACAGAGAGGAAGGGAGAGAGATAGAGAGCTAGAAACATCGACCAGCCGCCTCCTGCACACCCCCTACCGAGGATGTGCCTGCAACCAATGTACATGCCCTTGACCGGAATCGAATCTGGGACCCTTCAGTCTGCAGACCGACGCTCTACCACTGAGCCAAACCGGCTTCGGCCCATTTCAAACTTCTGACACACATCTTTCAAATATAAATAACCAACCCTAATATAAAACATTAATTTTACTTCATTCTTTATTATTTCTCATTCAATATGGTTAAATAAAATTTTTCAATATATTAATTAGTAACATAGGGATATTTAGCTTTTCTATAGATGCTATTTTAAGAGCTAGAGAAAAAAAATATTTTTTACTAATCTTGAATCAAACCAGGACTGTGAAATGGAAAATCATATTAAGCATTAGCAAAAATAAAACACGAAAATACAAAAAGGTAAGTATAATACATGTAGTGAATTATTAACAGTTTGACAATTTTGACAAATGAATACATCCACCATGATAACTGATACATAGTAATTGGCATTCATTATATATTTATAGAAGGAATATTAAATTAAATAACCATTTTGAGCTGTAACATTTTACTATACATACTAGTAAATACAGGGGGGGAATGATTTTCAGGGCACCCAGAGTTGCTCTGAATAATAAGGAAGATCAAAAGCAACTTAATTAAGTAGGAAAATTTGCAGATAATGTAAGCATCTATTATTAAAAAATTTTATAAATTATGGCATATATCCTTATGTAGATTATAATGTAGCCATTATACAATGGCTTTTAATAAGTGACTGCAGGTTCAAATTATATATGCAGTATTTCATCAACTATTTAAAAACTATAATTAAAAAATAAAAATTGTAAGGCAACAGACTAACAAGTTAATTGTTGCTCTGTTAGTAAGATCATAGCTTTTTTTCCATACTCCTTTTTATATTTTTCTATGCTTTTCAAAAATTTGTTCTACAGATTCTCATTTAATACAAAGATAATAGAAAAGTTTTAAATGGCATATAACCATTAATGGACTAAGTAATTTTATCAGAAATATTTATTTACTTGAAATAAAATAAATTTTTTATTAATCCTCATCGAGGATATTTTTCCACTGATTTTTAGGGAGAGTGGAAGAGAGCTAAAGACAGAGAAACATCGATGTAAGAGAAACACGTTGATTGGTTGTCTCCTACATGAGCCTGGACCAGGGCCCTTGACTGGAATCAAACCCGGGACCCTTTGGTCCGCAGGCCAACACTCTATCCACTGAGCCAAACTGGCGAGGGCTAGAAATATTTATTATTGCTAGCACCTAATACATGCTAGACACATTACATATGTTAGATCTCAATTTTTCATTAACATTTTAGAAAATAGGGATTATGACCTACCCCAAATCTTGTACAAAAATGAAGCTCAGAGAGGTTATGTAACTTCTCTAAGATAACACACTAAGTAGTGGGTCCAGAATTTGAACTTTCTGATTCTAAGGTTGGGGCTCTTTCCGCTAACTTGTACTGCCTTCCCCACCCTCGCAGGATTTTCAGTGACTGGTCTCAGCAGGGAATCACAGGTCTTTACCATATGACCTCACTTTAGTAACCTTAAAATACTAGACATCATTTAACCAGGTCAGAAAGGACAATTCAACTCATTTCTATAAGAAAATTACCTGAATATATAACAAGCCTAAAATATCTACAAAATGTCTGAATGAATAGGAATTATCCTACATTTCAGTAGTTTAAAATATTACATACTTTATTAGTAGTAGAAAAAATACTAACTTTTTTCCATCAAAAGAGGTGATCTGAAAACAGTACCGCCTGTCTTCACAGTCCACAGCCATTACTGAACAGTTGTCTATGTCCATGGCCAAGCCTCCTGCTACGTCCCCACGGGCCTGACTCATTAAGTTTCCACCCTGAGTGAAGTAAAACTGTCTGTCCCAGGTAGATGACACCAAGCCTGTTTTACTAAATGAAAAAAGTACATTCACTCTTTAATTACAACACACATGAAATCTCATCATAAGTCAGACACAAGAAAAAGCACACCACAAAGAACCAGCTTGCAAAAAGGCACCAAAGCTTCTAAAAAATATATGTTTTTTAGTTTCTAAAGTAAATTCATGTATGCTGACCACTTATGTGCCTGGGTGTACATATATATCCAAAACAAGGCTGAAAATTATTAAATTGAAACTACTATAATGATGCTTTAAAAATATAGTCAACTTTTTAAAACAAAAAAGAAATTATTTTACTCCTAGTTTTAACTTGCTTTATCTTATCGATATCTTCAGGTAAAAACTAAAATTTGACCTGATGGTATAATTACATACATTTTTAAAGTATGATAAATAACATTTTATAGCATTCACATTATGCTAGATTTAAACTCAAATTGGTTTAACTTTTTGGATAATTCTAAATTATTCAACAAATATCTAAATAGTTACTTTTGAAAATTATTCACGTATCCCCATAGGTCAAAAAGTTCCACTAAATACTAATATCACTAACTAAAAAGATCAAACCTTTAGTGAAATCAAAACAATTTGGCAGACAATATCAATTATGTATTTGCTTGCTACTAACTTAAATGATACACAATATAAGAAAAGAACAAGTTTTCTTACTTCCTAGCATTAAGGTATCCGGCCTTTCGGGTTAAGTTGCGGTTAACAGGAAATTTCATGGGGTCAGGGTCAGGCACATATAAAGGGTCACTGGCTATTTCCAAATCCTCTATTGTCTGCTGCATGGTCTCTATATCACTGTCCATCTCCCTGCGAACACTAGCACAGAAAACAGGTTATTCACTACCAACCACAACAAAGTATTCCTTTCACAATCACATTTATCTGTAATTTTCTTAAAGAGAGCAACAGTGGTTTGAGTAGTTAAAGTAACATGAACATGTTATAAAACAGCTTTACATTTTATTTAAAACATATTTTGGAAACAATACTAAATTCAAAAACTTAATGAAGCCACATTCAATGCCTAATTCCAGAGGAATTTTCAAACTGTTCTTTTTACCTCCCTCTCTACCTCAGATTGACCACATCACTGCTCAAACTGTTGAACCTTATTAGAGCTGCTTTCTCTAAGTTTTCATAGCTTGAAAAACAAGATTTATTTAGTGATCTCCCACAATTCAGGTAACAGTGAAGATAACTCACTATGAATAATTATTATCATGGGTCTGTTATATTCAGACATAAAAATTAGTTTAGAATCAATAAAATAGCAGATGATACTATTATGAAATTCAGAGTTCAGATTCTGTGGAAAAGATGATGAAAAAAGAAGTGTCCAGGAGTCATGCAAGAAACACTCTCATGGCAGGAAATTAAATGCTAAATATTCTTAGATTATTGACATTTAGCTGTTAACCTTATCATTCACATAACTTCATTTTCAATTTTAAGGAAGAAAATACTTACTTCTGTACACTTGTTCCAATATTAGTTAAGAATTCTTCCAGTTGTTCATTGAGATTTTCAGAACCCATCTTAAAGAAACTTATCTGAGGCAACAGAGTGTGAGAGTGGGAGGGTGAACAACAGAAATACCCACATACACAAACAAAATTCTTAAATAAATCATATAATCAAATTCTAAGATGCATAATAAGTAAATACAAAGGATTATTTGATAAAGACAGATTGTAGTTTACAATGACTTCTACTGGGCACGAAACCACTGAAGAAATAAACTTAAATTTCACTGTTCGTTCTTTCATATATTAACTAGAGGCCCGATGCACGAAATTCAGGCAAGGGGCTGGGTCCTAGCAGCCACAGCAGCTTGCCTCAGCCCTCACAGCCCTGGCTTCATCCGGAATCTGGTCTAATTAGCATATTATGCTTTTATTACTATAGATACATCCATATGGTAAGCAATTTTTTAAATTGGAAAATAAATTTTAAGACATTTCAGGTAAGTCATATTGATAAACTATTTCATGTTTAACACAAAGATTAAAATGATTTGTATCTGAGGAACAATAATATTCATACTTGAAGAATTAGGGGCTGCCATCTCATATTACCCAGATTTAATTTTCTAGCCCCCTTCCTGATGCATACCTCTCCGGACACTTTGGAGTTCTTAATATTTTTAACTCAGGAAGTATACAAGCAACTTGAAGCAAACTCAAACTTTTCTTTCAGATCTATTATGAAGCAAGAATGATTGGAGGCTCCAGCAATAGGTGTAACTACACAATTCATTTAGCTTTCAGTTCCCTGTCAATTGTGATGAACAAGATCTACATACAAGGTAAGTGGTTTCATTTACCATAAAATATTTGAAATCTTCATCTGCAAGGAAAACCATTCTCCCTAACTTCCTTAAAATAACATTCTGATGACAATTTTAAATTGCTTTTTTTAAAACATAGGCACAAAATTGTAATTTGTAGTTTGCAATGTAACATCCTTATATTTAACATCACTAACATACTTAATATGAAGTTTTTAGGGCAGTTATAATCCAAAACACAGTGCAGAATTCACCTGAGCTTGCATGTACCCAAGTAGAGGCTCTAACAATGCTATTTTCTTCTTGTACTGAAGAGTATTTAATGCACAAAAATAATGCATCATGGTCTGGTGTTGTTTTTTCCTGGAAGTGTAGACATCTTCTGTTACTTCATACTTTGCCTTTAAGTGAAAAAATTAGAAATACTATTATTTATTTAATTTTAATTTATCTTTAATAGTGGCTGAGAAGAAGAGCCTACCCAAGGAAAAAGGCACATCACCAGCAATTGTGCACTGCTTCCTTATTTTCTTAGATATTAGAAATCCTGCAAAATATTGGCTAAGATAGTTTTCCTATTATACTACCAACCACTTCATTTTAAAGCACATTAAAAGCAGAATTCTGCATATAACTAAGATTGGTACAATAAACTAAGCATGTCAGAGAAAGTATACCACACAGAGGGAAGGTAGACAATTAATTGTTTGATAACTAGTAGCCTGGTGCATGAAAATTCATGAATAGGAGAGGGGGTCACTCAGCCTGACCTGCCCCCTCTCACAGTCTGGGAGTCCTCAGGGGCGGGAGGCAACCCAGAGATCAAAAGGTGATGCCCCATCACATCTCTGCTGCTGCCACTGCCAGCAGTGCTAGCCTCAGCTGGCCCTGGTTACCTGAGCCTCAGGCAGCTGTGGGCGGCTGGGCAACCATCTTCTGAGGCTTGCCTGTACCTCAAGCATTGGCTGGGAGCTGCCATCCAAGACTTGCCTGTGCCTTGGGCTGACCCTGGGTGGCTGGGGGGCTTGGAGACTGTGAGATTCCAGAGGCAGATAACGGAGCAACCATATGCCTGCCACCCTGGTGGGGCTGAGGGGACTGGGCGGTCCCGTCTTGTGGCTGTGAGTGCTGCCATCTTTGAGGGTATGGCAGTCAATTAGCATATTCCCTCCTGATTGGCTGTGGGCACACCGTCTTCGCAACAGTGTGGGGGTCAATTAGCATATTCCTTCTTTATCAGATAGGATAGCTTAGCCATTAGTCTTTGACTTTGTCAGTTCACAACATATCACTCCTCCTGGTTCCCTTCCTACTATCCCTCCTCTCTTGTACTTGCTTGTTTCCCTTCACCTACACTTAAAATATGTGTTCCCTTAAGTTCTTGTATTCAGACAACAAATATTTACTGAGCACCTACAATGTAATATATACTAGGTTCTTCTTCTCTCTTCCTGCTCTCCTGAGAATACAAAATCAAATATAAAGAATATTCCATATTCCAATGACTCCCACATTTTTACCTCCTACCCTTTACTTCCCAGGTGTCAAAGGAAGCACATGTCCACCTGAGCTCTTTATGTGTATGTGTGTGTGGCGGGGAATGTGCTAGCAAACAATGTACAAAACTAAAGACAGCATTTTTTTTTATTGTTTAAAGTATTACACGTCTCCTTTTTTCCTGATTAACACCTCCATCCCAATAAAGATAGCATTTTAAACAGGAAAAACTAGACCACCTAATGAAAGAGTTGTTAATTGCAATTCTGAAAGAGTAAATATGTATCATACCTTATCATTCTCTCTTTTTTTTGATAATCGGCTATATCTGTGAATTGCAGCATCATGATCTGGAAAATAGAAATGACTATTAACAACAACAAAATAATACTTTGCAAAACTTATGTTTTAAATGGTTTCAGATGTGCATCTTTCAACAAATGTTCCCCTATCCAAATTTCCCCTAAAGCAGTAGTTGGCAAACCACAGCTTGTGAGCCACATGCGGCTCTTTGGCCCCTTGAGTGTGGCTCTTCCACAAAATACCACAGCCTGGGCAAGTTTAATTTGAAGAAGTTTAAGTTTTAAAAATTTGGCTCTCAAAAGAAATTTCAATCGTTGTACTGTTGATATTTGGCTCTGTTGATTAATGAGTTTTCCAACCATTCCCCTAAAATATGTTTCTACTTATTAAATTGGTAAAAATATTTAATTCTAAGGAAACTGTAATCCACTAAAATTTTACTTAAATATTTTTAATACAAAAACAGCAAACATTCATTAAAGAAAACGTGGGATGTATAGGAAAACAAGGCAGGGAAAATATTATGTCACTCTTTAATATTATGAGAATAGCAAGACACAAAAGTTGATTTAATTTCTTATTAAATTTTTCTATAGGGTAAACAGTATAACTTAAATAACAACACTGATTTAAATAATGTTCACTTAAACTTTTAATTAGGTTCATTTTTTTTCAATTATTGCATAGAATCTGGCCACAGATTTGTGTTGATTTTAAAAATGCATCATAACAAGAAATAACTGTAAAGTATTAAGAGCTTACCATTACTAGCAATCTGAAACACTTCCTTTAATGTCAATATTTCTGGAAAAGTTCAAGAATAATTTCAGTGTAGCATATTTATGAAATATCTTAAATTTTGTTTTGAAAATAGTAACTGCCATTTAAGCTACAATTAAAACTCCAAATAATATCTCATACTTCGACATTCAAAGTGGCAATGCCACTCTGTATTTCAGCTAGCCTATAGAACATTTATTATTATTAACAACATTACAACTCCAGAAAATCTACTCGCCACAAATTAGTAATATGATACAAGAACAAATTGTAAAACCACTGTAAATTCTAAGATATAGAAATAGTTTTTGTACCAGAATCTAACAATTCATTTTTTATACTGACTCTAATAAGTTCAAATGGTGAATAAGAAGTAAAGAACATTTTATTAATAAATTATGACATTCAGTTCCCTTTGACTAAGAAAAGAGATTTGTTTCTTGACCTTAGAATTACCATTCTTGAGGATTTATCACCACAAATATTAACTCCATGTCTAAAATTCATTTGTGGTTTTTTTTGTTTTTTTAATATATTTTATTGATTTTGTACAGAGAGTAAGGGAGAGAGATAGAGAGTTAGAAACATCGATGAGAGAGAGTCATCGATCAGCTGCCTCCTGCACACTCCCTACTGGAGATATGCCCGCAACCAAGTACATGCCCTTGACCGGAATCGAACCCGGGACCCTTCAGTCCCCAAGCCGACGCTCTATCCATTGAGCCAAACCAGCCCTGGCAAATTCATTTGTTTTTATTCCATTATAATTTAAATATTTTACCTTCCACTGATATATTAATTCAATGTTTTATTCTATCTACCTATCTTGTAAATAGGTCTATATAATTTTCTAAAATTGTAAATTATGAGAAAGAAGAGCTAATTCTATAAAACTCATTTTATCACTGAATAATGCTAAATGGGGGCAAAATCTACCACAAACAACTAAGTGATGGGTTGCTAGCTATGTCAGTACCACCTACCTCCTGCCACTCCAGCCCATAAATACACCTCCATCTCCTGTGCCACTGTCTCAGTTTAAGTCTTGGTCATACCTCACTGGACTCTCACAACTTCCTAATCCATTCTCCTAGACATCAAATTCACTCTATTCCACCCTCCAAAAACAAAAGGATTATGTCTTAAAAGACCTTCATTCGGCCAAAATCGTTTTGGCTCAGTGGTAGAGCATCGGTCTGCAGACTGAAAGGTCCCGGGTTCGATTCCGGTCAAGGGCATGTGCGTTGGTTGCAGGCACATCCCCGGTGGGGGATGTGCAGGAGGCAGCTGCTCGATGTTTCTCTCTCATTGAGTTTCTGGCTCTTTATCTCTCCCTTCCTCTCTGTAAAAAAATCAATAAAATATATATTAAAAAAAAAAAAAAAAAAAAAAAAAAAAAAAGGCCTTCATTTGCTTCACTTTCCTTATAAACATAAGTGGAACATCTTTACATAATCTAGTCCCTACTAATCTACTTCTAGATTTGTCTCCTGCCATGACGAACACATTCAATATTGCAGCCACACTGAACTTCTTATCATTCTCAAAACAAGCCATGTATTTCTACAACCCACACCTTTGTTTTCCTAGTCCCTCTAATAGAATGCCTCTTTTCTTCTGGCAAACTCCTCTTCACAGCTCAATGCTCATGTCACATCCTTGGTGAAGCCTTTCTGACACCCTTCTCTGAGCTTTCACAACACTGTTGTAATTATCTGTTTACCTATGTCCGTCTCTAGACTTTCTCAAGAGAAGTGACATCTTATTCATATCAGTATTCCCCAGAATCTAGTTTAACACCTAGTATTAATTAGCTCCTATAAGTGGTTAGTGACTAATTAAAGTAAATGTGGCACAGCTGTATTCAGAAATTGTTAAGATATAGAGTAATATGCATTTCACAGGCATTAATATTCTGATAGCTAATGAAAGTAAACATAAGCTTGACTTCAATACCTTTCAGATCTCTTTCTTTAAACTGGGTAATGGGGAACATCATGGCATCAGCAAGCTGCGTTGAAAGTACCGCATGACAAGAGCTAAGCTAGTAAAAGAAAAACCAAAAAGGCCAAGTAACAAAAACATTTAACCAGTGTTGTGTAAATTAAACAAAATCTAATGAAAGATCTTGATAATAAGAGAACACAAAATTATGTAATAAAATATACAGTCAAAAAATTCCATTTAAAACTTTTAGAACATGGGATAACCTTGGATTTGGCAATATTTCTTAGATATGAAACCAAAAGCATAAGCAACAAAAAATATATATAAATTAAATTTCATCACAATTAAGATTTTTGTATACCAAAGAATACTATCAAGAAAGTAAAAAAGTGCCCAGCCAGCGTGGCTCCATGGCTGAGGTCACGGTTCAATTCCTAGTCAGGGCACATGCCCGGTTTGCGGGCTCAATCCCCAGGGTGGGGTGTGCCGAAGGCAGCCCATCCATGATTCTCTCTCATCATGATGTTTCTCTCTCCCTCTCCCTTCCTCTCTGAAACCAATAAAAATATATTTTAAAAAAAGACAATCCACAGAATGGGAGAAAATATTTGCCAATGTTGTATCTAATAAGGAACTTGAATAAAAAAGCCCTTAAACTAAGTAATAAAAGAAACATCCCAATTAAGAAAAGGGGGAAGATCTGAACAGACATTTCATCAAAGATTTACAAATGGCCAATTGGCACGGAAAAGATGCTCAATATCATCAGCCATCAGGAAAATGCACATCAAAACTATGATGAGACTACATCACACCACTTCAATGGCTACAATAAAACGTAAATAGAAATAACACATTCTCAGGTGTTGGTGAGAATGTGGAAAAACTAGAACCCTCCTACATTACTGATGGGAATGTAATATTGTGGAAAGCTGTGGTTTTTCAAAAAGTTAAATACAAAATTACCATATGACCCTGCAATCCCACACCAGGTATATGCCCAAAAGAAGTGAAAACTGGTGTTCAAAAAAAACCCAAAAAACTGCTGAAACCGGTTTGGCTCAGTGGATAGAGCGTCGGTCTGCGAACTGAAAGGTCCCAGGTTTGATTCCGGTCAAGGGCATGTACCTTGGTTGTGGGCACATCCCCAGTGGGGGGTGTGCAAGAGGCAGCTGATCGATAATTCTCTCTCATCGATGTTTCTAGCTCTCTGTCCCTCTCTCTTCCTTCTGTAAAATATCAATAAGATATATTTAAAAAAAAAAAAAAAACTTGTTCATGAATGCTCATAGCAATACTATTGCATTAGCCAAAAGGTGGAAAACAACCCAAAATGTCCATCAGCTGATAAATGGATAAATAAAATGTTAAAAATATTCATACAACATTTTATATAGCAAAAAAAGAAATGTGACCCAAGCAAGTTTGGCTCAGTGGATAAAGTGTCCGCCTGGGGACTAAAGGATCCCAGATTCAATCTGGCTAAGGGCATGTGCCCAGTGGGCTTGATCTCCCCCAATAGGGGATATGCAGGAGGCATCCAATCAATGATTCTCTCTCATCATTGATGTTTCTATCTCTCTCTCTTCCTCTCTGAAACTAATTTAAAAAAAAAAAAAAAAGGAATGCAATCTGATACATGCTACAACATGAATGAACCTTAAAAACATTTTGCTAAGTGAACAACACAAATTATATTGAGTCCATTTACATGAAATGTTTAAAATAGGTAAATCCAAACAAACAGAAAGCAGACTTATGATTGCCGGGAGCTGAGGGAGTGAGGAGCAGGAAGTGACTGCTTAATGGGCACAGGATCTCCTTTGTGATAATGATAAAAATGTTCTAGAATATCAGTGCTAATGATTGCACAACACTGTGAATGTACTAAAAATCACCAGTAGTAAATTTTATTTATGTATATTTTACCACAATAAAAAAAAATTCCATTTCCTATAAATATTTCTTTATATTGATCTGCTAGGGCAATATTTTTCTATAATGGATTAAAGTATTTCAAAACATTATTTTCCAGTTAAGAGACTAGAAAAGACAGGACCAACGGTGCATGTGAAAAGAAGAGTTGTCACTGCACTCGTAGAGAACAGTTATGGGCTCTCCAAACATCTCTTACCATCTTTCTTCCTCCTCACTGCCAATCTTTTCTTAGTTATTTGTTCTGAGACTAGTTTGAGAGATTAAGGGTTGATATTGGCTATTTAGAGTGGAAGATAAAATGTTGCCTGATGGCAAAAAAAAGAAAAATCGTAAAGCGCCTATTCTCTCCCTGTGTTTATCAGATAAGACAATGAATAAAACACTGAATGTTAGTTACATGGACTGGGAGAACATATCTATGTTTATTCCTTGAAAACAACTGTTTTAATCAAGCAAAGAAAGTATTGCTTTTACAAGACAGCCTCCAAGAAATAAGGTCCTTTTTTTAAAAATATATTTTATTGATTTTTTACAGAGAGGAAGGGAGAGAGATAGAGAGCTAGAAACGTCGATGAGAGAGAAACATCGAGCAGCTGCCTCCTGCACACCCCTCACCAGAGATGTGCCCGCAACCAATGTACATGCCCTTGACCGGAATCGAACCCGGGACCCTTCAGTCCGCAGACCGACGCTCTACCGCTGAGCCAAACCGGTTTTGGCGAAATAAGGTCCTTTTTAAATAGTAATCTTTTTTAAATAGAGATTTACTCATATAATCATAATGACAGTTCCAAATAAAAGCTAAACAACTTGAATAACTTAATTAGAAAACCACTTATTCAAGCAAAATAAAATGAACACTTACCTCATCTATAACTTTTGAAAACTGTTGCAAAGTAGAACTCATCACTTCATCATCACCACCCAATGGAAAACGCTAAAAAGTGAGAGAGATGTAAAGGACCAATGCTGTATGTCTTTTGCGAATGACATTATAATTTAGATTTTTAAATAACTTCAGAAAACTTCTAAACTTTGAATAAGCTCTAAATGTATCATTTTAATAAATTAGTATAGTTACAGTAAACATTAATTATAATGCTGCTAAACAACCAATTAACATGGTATATAGGAATGCACCATACTTGGGGAGTTCAAAGATTTGGTGTTTAGCTCCAATTCCTCCAATAACCACTTATGTAACTAAGCAAGCTTCAGTATAAAGAGAAGTCAATCAGATAATTTCTGTAGCTAACATTAAGTCATTAAAATTAGATATAAGTGCTATAAAGGCATTTCAATGGCATATAAAAAGTAACTTCTGTGAATTCTAAAGTTTGATTATTGATAAGAAATTCTACTCAACTATATAGATACGGTATCACTGCATATTTTAAATTATGTGCTTAAAACTTTTATATATAATACCTGTTTTTCATATTCTTTTAAAAGTTTTGAAGTCAGGTGTGTTGCTGCACTTAATTCATTCTATAAAAAAGATTAATTCAAATTAATGTGACATTATTGATAAGAAAAACTTTTAGTTGAAGATACCTACACCATTTTTATCACTTAACATAAAATATCGTACATGTTCTCTATACCCCTCACTAAATCACTGGAAAGAGAATTAGTAATTGAAATATGAGCTCTTTAATACAAAATAATGTTCATTCATCCATTCAACAAGTATTTAGTACCATTAAAGTACTAAAAGGAAACTCAAACCATAAAATATACATCAGCTGTGTTCCTGGTGCATGCTTGTTTTTAACTAATAAAAACTAGACATTAAGTTAAATATTGTTAAAGCTTTAAAGTTAGGAGTAAACTGTATATATCTTAGCAAAATCTTGAGAGATTCTACACTGAAAACTGATCATCCCTTTCTCTAGATACTGATATTAGTCCATGATAAGCATTTAATAATGTAAAACCAAAATGTGGTCAACCTAATCATAAAATATAGCAACAGAAATACTTTTTTAATTTAAAGGGGTTTTTTTCCAGTGATGAATATGACAAAAATAACATTTCCTTTATATATCAATCTGTCTTCTGATTTGAGAGACCAACTAGAAGAAAATAAAATAAAAACTGTCACAACTTTTAAGTACATAATGAAAATATGAGTCCAGAAAGAAGATAAAATTAGAAAGGGGAAAAATGAGTACTTAATTATCCCCAAAGAAAGTTTATTATACAACCCAGGTTGTTGTTAAGGCTTATAATTAAATTTCATAAACAAAGCCTCAAATCTTATTCCTATTTAACCAAAGAATCTAGTCATTTCTATTTTCTTAAATTCATCTCCTATGCCCCAGAGCTACATCTAAGTTTTATTACCTTCTATTAACAAAACAGAGGCAAAATACTTTCAAATCCTTTGTTTAAAAAGGGAAGTATTCCATAAGATTAAAAGCATGATTAGGGAAAGTTTGGGTGACAATATAGGGTTTTCAGTCAAATCTTAGATAAATGTCACTATTATTAAGTTTCAATAAGCCCTTACTGGGTTTGGGGAGGAGGGACAGAAGCTTCAATCTTCATAACTTTTATAGTACTACAAACTATGCATTAGTAATTGAAATATGAGCTCTGTAATACAAAATAATGTTCATTCATCCATTCAACAAGTATTTATTACTATGAGGCCAGGTCAGCACTAGGCACCAGTAAACAAGACAGACACTCTCTGTGCTTCAGGATTCATTTTGCAAAAGCATGGAGTCAGCCTTAGCTTTGTTACCTGTGCATCATAAATCCGATGCATAGCTTGATACAACTGGTTCATATAGTTGGAAATAGCTGTAGCATCTTCTTCAAATACGCCCAGTAAAGACCTTGTCTATATAAAATAAAAGCAATAAGTTTATGTTAACCATTACATTAGTCAGAAGGAAATTTTTTAAGGAAGGAAAAATCCTAGAACATCAGAGTTTTAATTATCTTGAGTATTAATCTATTTTTTCTCTTTTGATAGTAATGCTAAGACGTCAGGATTCTTTTTTCTCAGTTTCACTTCATTAAAATAAAGGGTTTTCCCAAATACACCACACAAACCAACAAAGATATATTTTTATGAAGTAAAAAGTCTGCAATTAAACTTAACAAATCAAAGAAACATTCAAGGCTAATTTAATAATATTCCATGTGTAAATACTTTAACTGTCTTATTTCAAGACAACTTAGTGTGATTATTTCTTTTTCTCTGTGGTATCTTCTAGGTTAGTGCCAAACCCCTCCCCATCATAATCCAAAAATACCATAGTGCCCCTCTCCAGCACTGCCTATAAAACATTAATTTATAAGCAAAATTTAGGGTTATTTTTTTTCTTCTTTATACATTTCTATATTGTTAGGCTTTTTTTCCCCAATGAGTACGTAAATTTTTTCATTTTAAGGGGAAAAATAGTAAGTAAATTTAAGACTGTCAATAAAAAGGATTTCAGAGGCAAGGAAACTCAGCATATCAAAGCAAAGTATGCTAAGCTTTTTATATCTCAAAGGCATGGAAGAATTAAAATACCAAAAACTACTGCCATAACTGCAGCTTAAAATCTAAATGATGACTTTGTATTTTACTCTACAAATAATGTTTCAACCTTAAAAGCTGGTTTTTAAAAATCAACTTAATCTTAGCTTCCTATTTTCAGAAGAGAAAGCTAAGTGATTACAGTTTTTGGAAAAAAAAACACAAAATCATTACGCCAATATATAAAGCCCACATGCTCAGTCCTCTACTTCCCATGCCCCAGAGATGTAGATCTGACAGAATTTTTTTATTTTTTACCTCAACTCCTATCTCTCAAAGTGCTATTTTAGGATATAAAAAGAGCCCTAACCGGTTTGGCTCAGTGGATAGAATGATGGCCTTCAGATAGATGCGATTCTGGTTAAAGGGACATGCCTGGTTGTGGGCTCCATACCCAGTGTGTGTGTGGGGGGGGGGGGGGGGGAGGAGGAGGTGGCCAATCAATGATTATCTCTCATCATTGATGTTTTTAATCTCTCTCCCTCTCCCTTCCTTTCTGAAGTCAATAAAAATATTTTTTAATTTTTTAAATATATTTTATTGATTTTTACAGAGAGGAAGAGAGAGGGATAGAGAGTTAGAAACATTGATAAGAGAGAAACATGGATCAGCTGCCTGCCTCCTGCATACCTCCTACTGGGGATGTGCCCACAACCAAGGTACATGCCCACAACCAAGGTACATGCCCTTTCAGTCCGCAGGCGAAAACTCTATCCACTGAGCCAAATTAGTTAGGGCTTAAAAATTTTTTTAAATTAAATCTCAATCATAGTGAACTTTCTCACTTAAAAAAAAATCATCTTGCCCTTAAAAAAAAAAAATCAACTCTAAATCTAAAAAATAAAAGCATTTTTTTAAAAAGGTCCTCTTGCCCTGGCCAGGTGAGGTGGCTCAGTTGGTTGGAGCACAGTCCCATATACCAAAAGGTTTCGGGTTCGATTCCCAGTTAGAGCACATACATAGGTTGCGGTTCGAACCTGGGCTGGGATGCATATGGGAGGCAACCCATTGATGTTTCTCTCTCGAATTGATTTCTCTCTCTAAAATCAATAATAACGGGGGGGGGGGGGGGGGGGAGGATGCTGTTAGGTGAGGATCTTTTAAAAAGAAAAAGATCATCTTACCCCAAACAAGGTTGAAATAGGTACCCTAATTAAAACTAAAATATCAAGTTTAACACTGTATGATTGTTTAAAATTAGCAACTTATAAAAATACAATCAATACCATTTCACTGAGTCTCTGATGGTATCCACTGTGAGCTACACCATTTTTATATACTACTAAAACAAACAAAACAATGTTGGCAATTAGGTTATAATTTAAGGTTTTTTAATGTCTTAAAATTTTTAATTTAAATTTTATGGAAACACACCTTTAGATAAAATTTTACATATAATTCCCATATAAACATAAAAAAGGAATACAAACACAGAAGCATAAATTTAATATACTAGTAACCCTAAAATTTCTTCACAGAGTTCAACTCTTGTGAGTCACTTTTTGACAGTTATCAATATCCATGTTTTCTCATCCACTATTATTCTGTACAAATATTTCTTAAATGCGCTCCACTTTTGTCCCCAATACACATTTTCTTACAAACCATTTCATCAGATACCATTCAGAAAGTTTTTTCTTTTTATTGAATTTAGTGAGAGAGGGAGAAGAAGAGAGAAAAACATCATGATCAGTTGCCTCCCTCAACCTGGGATGGAAACCTCAATTTGGGTATGTACCCAGACCAGAATTGAGCCCACCACCTTTTGGTACAAGGGATGACACTCCAACTGAGCCACACCGGCCAGGGCCCATATAGCAGGTTTTAATGGTGGCACTTGCTTCATCTCATCAGGTATCAAAGGAATATATTCAAACAACAAACACGAATGGTAATGTTTCAACTCGTTAAACAGATTTGTTGGTTGAATATTTAGAGGTTGCAGTTGATCGGTCATGCCACTAGGAGAAACAGACAGGTGTGTACATTTGAGGCAATTAGAAGTAAAACATCAGCTAAAGAAGCATCATGCTAACAGAGATGTGAAAACAAGTATGTGCTATAACAGTGGTCGGCAAAATGCAGCTTGAGAGCCACATTTGGCTCTTTGGCCCCTTGAGTGTGGCTCTTCCACAAAATACCACGGCCTGGGCGAGTCTATTTTGAAGAAGTGGCAGTAGAAGTTTAAGTTTAAAAAATTTGGCTCTCAAAAGAAATTTCAATCGTTGTACTGTTGATATTTGGCTCTGTTGACTAATGAGTTTGCTGACCACTGTGCAAAAGAAAAAAGCCTCAATTTTTTTTAAATTTTAAAAATGATTAGAATCAAATGGTCTAATAATAACATCATATCAGAAGCTTTAAGTTTCCATAATCTTTGTTACTTTACTATTTGGACTCCATCCTAAATAAGTAACCCAAATGAGAGCAAAAATGTATGCCCAAGCATGAATCTCAGCCCAATATATAAAAGCAAATTTTGGGGGGGAAAGTTTAAAAGTCCAGTAAGACAACTAACTATTAAGTCAGCTAAGGAAACATGCAGCCTTAAATTCCTTTATTCAGAATGTAATAATATGTGAAGATGCTTAAATTATGTTAAATTAAAACCAAATAAAAATTGTATACATAACATAATCTCAATTACATTAAAATGTATAAGAGAGAAAAAAATAGAAAAAAGGAAGTAAACTATTAATTTGGCTGGGTACATGGCATGTAATTGCTTTTTTTTTTTTCCCTGTACTTCCAATTTTTCTGAAGTAAAGATTATTTTTATAACCAGGTACAAAAATAAAATAGCTATCTATAAACAGCTGTGATTCAGAGAAGTTGAGTAACTTGCCCTAAACCAGAAGGGACCAAGTGGCAGTGAAGGTTAAAACCTTTATATCCTAATCCCAGATCCAGGACTTTCCATTCTCAGGTTCTCCCTAAGAACCACTTACCGGTACAAGTTTCCTCCCTTTCCAAATCTCAGTTGTCCCCAACTAATTTTCCCAAATAAATGTTATTTAGTTCAAAATTATTACTTCCATAAATTGAAATATCAATGTGGCTATTTCATTAAAAATTACTGTAAAACTGACCCTAATGTGGCACATTCTTGTAAAAAAAAAAAAAAAAAGAAAAAGAAAACACTAATGCTAAAGTTGTAAACTAATTGTGTGAAAAGTTCAAGAAATAAGTCAAGAGATTATATCCTCTTCACAAGTCGTAGCCAGGGCACTGTACAGCCTATTTTGAGCTGTGTGTATGTCTTTATGGGCTGTAAAAGACATATACATATACTACATGTAAAAGAAGGGGACGGCAACCTGTTGAGTCTCAGATAATAAAAAAGCAAAAGGACAAAGTGCACCTAACCAATACATCTCACATAAGTTTTGCAAAGTGTATGAAACAGATATAGTTTATAACTTTACACTACAGAAAATATTGATAGTTTGAACTGGCTATTCTAGCAGTCAAGCCAAGATGTGGGTTTCTCTTTGTATCAGTATTGGCTGATAAGAGTACATTACCAGCAGGCAACTGGCCAGTGAAGATAACTTTCAGCATGAAAAATCAAATCAATTCCACAATCAGAGCCCATTTTCAACTTGGCAATTAAAGTTGGCACAAGCCGGGTAGCTCAGTTGGTTGGAGTGTCCTCCTGACACGCCCAAAGTTTCGGGTTCCATCCCCAGTCAGGGCACAAGAATCAACCAATGAGTGGATGAATAAGTGGAACAATAAATCCTCATTTCTCTCTCTCTCTTCTCTCTCTCTCTCTCTCTGTCTGTCTCTCTCTATCTCTATCTCTCTCTCTCTCAAATAAATGAAAATAACCCACGGCAGACGTGCCGCCCAGGAAAGGGGCGTATTAAACTGCCAAGACACATGAAGAAATACATGGAACGGTGTAGTTCAAACGAACATCTCAAGAACATTGTCTTCATTCTAAGTGGTAACCAACCATCAACGTGGCCTTACATAGCTTAAGTCACTGTGTAAGGCTTACGGATGACATTTCTCTATGCAAGTGACAGCCCCCACCAACCAACGTGTTTTTAACATAGCTGATTTCATCCTTCAGTCCTAAAAACATAACGAACGGTTGTTTTCCTAGATTGTCTTCAGCGAAAGCATTCGCAGTAGCAGCATTCCCAAACGCGCCAACACACGCAACCCCGGGCTTTTATTTTGATGAGTTTTCCAGGGCCAGGTCAGCAGGGAGCCGCGCGGGGGTCGCGGAGCCTCGGAGGCGCCGTCCGTCACACGCTCGAGTGACAGCGGCCACGGCCGCGGCCACGACACCGGGCGCCCAGGGCGGGGAGGCTCCTGGACCAGGTCGGGGTGCTCTGCACGGGCAAATGCACGGCCTTTCGGCATCTCCCGGGGAAAATCTATTCATCTCTCTCCCCAGCTTGCTCAGACATCATCGAATGAGCCCACCGGGTTCTTTCTCCGGGATTTCCTCGGGAGGAGAGGTTTTCGGGGAGGAAATCCCAGGATGGGGATTCACCACCGCCCATCGCGGCGATAAAAACGCACAGAACGAAGCCCTGCGAACGTACGCGGCCGCCGGGCCGCAGAGGTGCCGGACCCCGCGCGCGGCTCCCGGCCTAGCGGCGCAGGCCCGCGCGGGCTGCGGGCTGGCGGGCGGCCCGGCCTGGGTGGCTCTCTCTGGGCGCGGCTCGCCGAGGGCGGGGGCCCGGGGCGGCGGCGCCCACCTGGGCCGGGGCGGGCCCCTGCGGCCGCCAGCGACGTCAGGCTCCGGGATCGGCCCACGCGGCTCCTACCCTCGCCTCCCGCCGCCGCCCGCGCCTCCTCACCTGCGGGCTGTCCTCCAGGGTCTCCTCGATCGGCAGCTTGTCGATCCCCGGCATCGTGGCGGAGGGAGGGCAACGGGCAGGTGACGCGGCGGCCGCCCACGGTTCCCACGCCGACCCACCCGCAGCAGCTGACCCCGACCCACCCTCTCTCTCCCGCAGTCTTTGCAGCCGTCTCTCCCGCGCCGCCCTCGCCCGGAGCCAGGCGGGAAATCCCGCCCCTTCTGGGTCCACGCCCCGCCCCCGGCGCGCTCATTGGCTCACGGCGATGCCTGTCAGCACGGCGGGCTGGCCGGGCGTGGGGGGGGGGGGTCTTTCCGCGGACACTGCGGTGCGTGCTCGCGCTCGGGTGTGTCTCGTAGGGCGCCGTCTCCCGTCGCCGCGCGCGTCCCGGGAACCAGAGGCTCCAATGAGGACCGCACCGGGGAGTTTGGGGCGGCTCTAGTTGTCCCTCAATGTTTTTCGTCAGAGACCACGCCGGAGGCCCTGCTGCTGCGGCCTTTCCTTCGTTCCTCACCCCGAACCTTCCCGCCCCTCCCGGAGGCGGCCGGTCTCCCCGCTCCACACCTCCCTGCTGGCTACCGGGCTTTCCCGGCTAATTCGTCCTACATTATTTTTCTGGACATTTGGATACCAGTTTATTCGGCTTAAAACATGTGCCTTTGTCGCCAAGTCATCAATTCTTACCTGGTCTTGAAGGGCTGACAGGCCACAATTTAGACTTCAATATTTCTTTAAAGTCACAAAGAAAACACCTTTTAAAAAGTCAGAATACCCTAGTCATTTATGTTGGCAACTGATCACACTTCCCTTTGGTGACATTTTTGGAAGAAGCTTCAAGGAGCTTCTTGGGCCTGTTTTTAAGTAGAAAGGAGTGAAGCGCTGCTCCTAGGACTTGATCTGGACTAGAACACCCACCTCCTCGTCCTCCTCAGCGCTTCATTGGCCACTTCACACCCTCCTCATCCACCTCACACCCTCCTCACCCACCTCACCGCTTCCTCATCCTCCTCACCACCTCCTCATCCTCCTCACCGCCACCTTCTCATCCTCCTCACCGTCTCCTCATCTACCTCACACCCTCCTCATCCACCTACAGCCTCCTCATCCACCTCACACCCTCCTCATCCACCTACAGCCTCCTCATCCACCTCACACCCTCCTCATCCACCTACAGCCTCCTCATCCACCTCACACCCTCCTCATCCACCTACAGCCTCCTCATCCACCGCACACCCTCCTATCAGCCTCCCGCTGCCTGGTTTAGTTCTCTGTAGAATTAGGAGCTTTCCTCACAGGTGAAGTGGCAAATCACAGTGTCTCCTAAACATCTAGCCATTCCTCCCACCAACCCTTTCCATTTTCATTCAAAAGATGTTGAGTATAAAGATTATTCGTTGCCTGGTTCCACTGATACATTGGAACAAATCCAGAAACAGTGACAGGAATGGAAGTTACTTTTCATTTGATGCTAGATTTTCCCACGATCTCGTAAGGATAAAAATCAGGCTTTAAATGCTTTCCCAGGTAGACTTGCAGTAGTTTCACAGAAGTGTCCTTCGTGTTATAAACTTTTAACTAAAAGTTGCTGGTTCCCAGCTTCGTAGATGTACCCACAGCATCTCCAGGTCTCAGCAACCGTCTGTCCTCCCTGATTTCCCTTTCACTCTGGCAGCACAGCGGTGTGCAACCTGGCTCTACCTGAGGAAGACTTGCAAGGTAAGGGACCTTCTTGGTGCAACTGTGATTTCTATTATAAGTGAAGGAAAAAGAAAAGTAGTGGCAATTGACAAGAATCAAGAGTAAGCGACAAGTGAAAACGGAGTGTAAGAAAGAAGAGTAATTCTAGGGTGTTATTGAAGAGATTTGGCCAGTTGGCCAAACCCAATAATTTCAGAGAAAAATTCTATTGTGTATCTGAATGATCTGGGTGGGATATTCTCATCAAGTTAAATGGTTTTCTCCTTTATGTGGTATATGCATCTAAACTGTATTTTTGTAATGGATTCTCAAGAGGCTACGATATTATCAAGGAGGGACAAGGAATTCTTACTGGACTCTGCTGATTAAAAAAAAAACAAAAGCAAAAAGCAAGTTGACATTCAATTGAATGAAGAAGCAGTTTAGTCAAATCATAAAACTAAAAAGAATCTTAACAGGCATTCTGTTTGGATCCTATATCTTTAGGCTACTACTCCGCTCGTCCAAAAAGATTATTGTATTTTCTATTTTAAAACATCTCCACAACTGCAGAATTACAGCCTCCTCTGACAACCAATTTAAGTTTAATCAACTAGATTCTGTACCGTTGACCAAACTCAGTTCCTTTTACACAGGAAATGAGGCTTGTTCAGAGAGAATGCCTTAGGGGGTTACTGGAGACTCACATGTGGGGAGCACAGTAAAAATTCTGGCCAGCTGGTTAATTTTATGGAAGGCAAGGCAGGATTAAACAACATTCACCACATAATGCTTTGAGACATTTCATACATGTAATTTACAATAAAAAGGCATACAATCCTGTAAATAGATTTGTTAATTATTAGTCTCTTAAAATTATATTTGATCTTATAATTAGGTGTTTATATGATACTCCTTGAAGTTCTGGTATGTGGTCTGTAATAGGAAAGAATCTAACAACAGAAATGATTCTGATACTTTACTTTTCAAAATTATCCCCCTAGGTCATACAAGTCATCTGGGGAAGGTTGTTAGCACAGCTGGAAGATTCTGATGCCAGAGGTCAGAAATGGGGTGGGAGTTACCCCATATGAGTCAAACCAAATAATCCTCAAAGCACATATTGAAAAATCCCATCCAAAATGGAGAATAACCATTTTCTGTTCCAGAGAAGCCTTGTATTTCAGAAAATGCAGAGTCAAGTAAACATTTAAGAAAAGAGTCCTAGATTCCATCTGAGAATAGGGACAGGGGCACCATTTCCAGAATCACTCGGAGAGTAGGGGAGGCCTCATCTTCACAAATATCCCCTGAAAGTCTCAATAAATATGAAATTCTGAGGAATTCCTACTCAAATAATTCTGGATGTTACCTAGTAAATCACTTGTTAATGGACTCATTTTAACAGGTAATTGTTTTCTTAAAAAATTTTTATAATTCTTTATTGTTGGAAGTATTACATATGTTCCCTTTTCCCCCCCATTGACTCTTCCAGCCCGCCCGCCCCTCCCCTCAGCCCCAGGCCTTCAGCACCCTATTGTCTATGTCCAGGGGTAATGCATATATGCATACAAGTCTTTGGTTGATTACCTGCCCTCTCTCTCCCTTCCCCCCTTCCCTATTAGATTCCGCACTCTATTTCATGCTTCCACGTCTCTGGATCTGCTCCGTTCATCAGTTTATTTTGTTACTTAGATTCCACATATGAGTGCAATCATGTGATACTTGTCTTTCTCTGACTGACTTATTTTACTTAGCATGATCCTCTCCAGGCCCCTCCATGCTGTCTCAAAGGGAAGAGATTCTTCTTTTTTACTGCTGCATAGTATTCCATGGTATAAATGTGCACAACTTTTTTTTATCCCCTCATCTCCTGATGGGCACTTGGGCTCTTTCCAGATCTTATCTATTGTACATTGTGTTGCTATGAACTTAGGGGTGTATACATTCTTTCTGATTGGTACTTCAGGTTTCTTAGGATATATTCCTAGTAGTGGGATTTATTTTTATTTTTTTTTATTTTAGAGAAAGAGGAACAGGAGAGGAAGGAAGACAAAGAAAGAGAAACATTGACTTGCAGTTCTATTTATTCATGCATTTGTTGGTTGATTATTATATGTTCCCTGACTAGGGATCAAACCCACAACCTTGGCATAACAGGACAGTGCTCTAACTAACAGAGATACCTGGCTGGGGCTCAGTTGTTTTCTTAACATACAGCTAAAATAAACCAAGAAATTAGCATATTAATTGGCAATTTGGGAAACTGAGTCATTTCTATTCACCTTAAAACATTAGAACCAGTGGTCAAATAGGGTAAAGGTTTGGGAAATCTGAGGGTAGACTCAAAAGTTCTGAGGAGTGGATTTCAAAAAGAGGTGGATAAGCAGCAAGAACCAACAGATTCTTCACTGTGTTACTACAAACCATCCTCCACCTGTGACCGTGACATTGATATTGCCTTTGCTCTTTGCCAAGCATCCTTAAATTCTGTAGCTTCTACTTTCTTGGCTGTACAAAGAAAAAAACTTTATTCCTAGAATAACTGTATATGCTTCTGTTTGATTCCTTTTTTAAAATATATTTTTATTGATTTCAGAGAGGAAGAGATAAACATCAGTGATGAGAGAATCATTGACCCGTTGCCTCCTTCAAGCCCCCCCACTGGGGACCGAGCCTGCAACCGGGGCATGTGTCCTTGACCGGAATCAAACCTGGGACCCTTCAGTCCACAGGCCTATGCTTTGTCCACTGAGCTGAACTAGCTAGGGCTGTTTTTGAAAGAAGAGGACATTACTAAATTTCTTTGGCCAGGCCAAGAACTTTGAATCAAAGCAAAGTCCTTCTCAGTTCTGTGGAGAGATGGATAAAAGCCTAGACTAGCTTGGCTATCTTTGATTCCTGGTTGTACTCTTTACTATTTTTGTGACTTTGTGTCTCCATTCTGTCATGAAAAATGGGACTTAACATAGAGAACCTACATTAGGAGATTGTGGAGATGATTAATGAGTTTTCACAATAGTGCTAAGTGCAATAAACATTCAAGAAAAATTACCTAGCTTAATTTCATTATTTAATCTTAAATTTATTTTAAGGCAACTTCCTTTTCTTATTTTTTTTCCTTTTTTCATATCTAAAGAAACCAATATTTCCTTTGTTAGAAGATTGGGCTTATTCTTTTAGAGAATCCTGAAACTATTTTAAACATTAACATTACCTTTGCTAGTGTTTTATCACTTTGACTTAGGGGGTTTTATAGCCAAGAAATGAGCATATTAATTGGCAATTTAATTTCTCCCGTTCCTCTTTCTCTAAAATCAATAAAAAATGTTTGTAGGTACCAAAACAACAAAGGCTCTTATCCTAATTTAGGGTTT